TGTCCTCCCCACCCCAACAAGACCTCAAGTGATCGCCCACGAACAGCCTCTCTGGCCTCTGATCAAGCTGTTTAATGGCCATTATCCCAGAGACTCAGAAACAAATCTTGAAACCCAGCAGCTTTTGGCAGAAATGCGTCCGGACCCTGCAGTAGGTTGCTGTCACCGGGCCACCCCAGAGGGGAAAGGGTGCTGTCCCTCCGCCTGCTTCCCCCTGGTGGCTCGGTGGCCATCATCCTCCAGAGGCCATTGGACAGTCAGGCTTGCGCCCACAGTGATGAAACTTGTTGGGCCTCACAGGATGGGAGTGGAGCCAGACCTATCCTCCCCACCCCAACAAGACCCCAAGTCTTCGCCCATGAACGGCCTCTCTGGCTCCTGATCAAGCTGCTTAATGGCCATGATCCCAGAGACTCAGGAGCAAATCTTGAAACCCAGTGGCTTTTGGCAGAAATCCCTCTAGATTGAAGTGTTAAAATTTCGGAATTTCAAAATCACATGTCCCTACTGCAGCCACGTGACATCATATGCTATTCATAACCAGCAATAGAACACAAATTGTCTACTGTTGCCTTTTCAGCAGATCTGAGTGTTGGGGTAAAATCTCAAATAATAATGGTGGGTCTGGTGTCAAAATATTGAACGTGATCAAAGTAGAGAGAGAGAGTAATGTGGAAATCATCTGCTCCACAGGTAGGGGGAGGGTATGTGATGGGGGTATACTGGGCTTTTTGGTGGTGGAGAATGGGCACTGGTGAAGGTATGGGTGTTTCATTGTATGACCGAGACTAAGACCCGAAAGCTTTGTAATTGCTTTCATGGTGATTCAATAAATAAAATTACAAAAAACGAAAAAAAAGTAAGGTGGAGTTCATGCACAATTCAATCAGCTAATCAGTGGCTGAATAAATAGCAGTACTCCTACATTAAAAAAAAAGTATCAGGGATGCTGTCTTGTTTGCCAAGGTGTCAAAAATCAGATGGGCTGGACATGTAATGAGATTTGGAGACATCCGCTGGATGAGAGTCATTACCGACTGGATTCCACGGGATGTCAAAAGACCACATGGCCTCCCACCTATGAGATGGTCAGACTTCTTCGTCAAGACCTTGAATGATCAGTTTGAGGCTCTTCATGTTCCTAGAATGAGCAGACGCCATTGGGCTACACTAGCATGCGATAGGAGCTAATGGAGACATCATTACTGACACCCGCTTGAGCAAATCGATGAGTAACAGGATGTCAAGTGATCAAATGATCAAGTGATCTACCAGAATAGAGACCCAGAAATGGGCTATCTTTGGTTAAAGTCAGCAAATAACTGTGTGTTTATCTCATGAAATGCAGACATTTTTATAAGGCATATTAAGAATTGTCCAGTCAAAATTTCCAGGATTTCTTTCATCAAACATTTGTATTATCTCTTAAAGCATAATTTTGAAAATTTTCTTACATATTTCTCTTAGGCCTCATTTTGATCATAGGATTTTTCTCTCCAGGGGTGAAAATGGAAGCATTTGTATTTTTTCATCTAAATATTATGTACTGTGTAAATGGCAATGAGGTTGGGTTGTTATCTGATGTGAACACAAATGCCTACTTCTCTTAGAATATAGTATTTATATGCATATGTGTATGTTGTGTTGCATGGGCCAAGAAATTTGAATCTAATGCAGAGTCTCAGAATTGACATAGAATTCAGTAGTTTGCTTGCATTTAATGAAGATGACTTTGATTGCAGGATAAAAGCTAGATTAACAGAAATAAGATATTGGAATAAATAAGTCTGGACTCTTAAAGGCTCATATTGTATGTATATGTGGCAAGGAACATATTCGATGATAATGGCAATGCTAATAGAAATGAGTACTATAATTACTGAATGGGTTTATAGATATATCTTGGTAGAGTATTTTTTATTTATTTTTTTGCTTTTTGGATCACACCCGGTGATGCACAGGGGTTACTCCTGGCTCATGCACTCAGGAATTACTCCTAGCGGTGCTTAGGGGACCATATGGGATGCTGGGAATTAAACCCGGATCAGCCACATGCAAGGCAAACACCCTACCTGCTGTGCTATCACTCCAGCCCTGAGTATTTTATTTTAAAGGGTAGGTATTAAATGTAGTGACACCAACAGTTCAGGAGACACTTGCCATGGAAAAGATGGGTTTGTCACTCACGGTTCCTAAGAGTAGGGGACACACCATCCCTGCAGGGCCAAGTACGCAACTACTAGTGTCCATCAGGTGGCAGAAGGAGAAAAAATTATTCTATACAGGGTATGCAGGTTTAGGACTCCTTAGTTTGAATGATTTTAGAAGACTTTTGGGTATAGGCTCTTTCTAGTTTTCTGATACTCAGATCCTTGATGATTAAATCAGAAGGTTAATGCCTTCTAGAGTACAAGAAAAGGGTATTCAGAGCATGGCTTTGGACAGTAGTTTGCAACATGGAAGGCATGTTGTGAGCAAATCACTTTCTATTGCTAAGACTAGAGGAGGCCTGGAAGAAGCAGTCTACCCTAGTCAGCATAGCCCAGATTGCTAGAACATCAAAAATAAGAAAATAAAATGAGTGCACATTTGATATAAGAAATGAGGAAGTCAAAAATATTTCCATCTTGGATGACTATATGGAAGTGTAATACCATTACTTTCCAGGGAATTAACTGCCCTGAATATCTGCTATGTAGTCTCAGTTTCAGGTTCCTCACCATCAGTTGCAGAGCACTCTTGCAACACCTTTGGTAAGTGGAAATGGTGTAAAGCAAAGAAGCAATTGCCATTTATTTATATGGAAAATTCTTGTGAGCATTCCAAGACTTCTCAAATAACCTATTCAATCATATTCAATAACATAAAAACTAATAACAGTAACACAAAAGGAACCTTAAAAAACCATTCATATAGTATAAAAGCAGAATGATAGGATAAATACACAGCCTGTGTAAAGGAGTTCTGGGGGAAGGAGTTAGGCAGAGTCACACTTATTGTTCAGAGTGTGCCTGCCTCAAAAACAGTTGCTGCAAAACAAAGGCTAAATGCTTTTTTCACTGGAAAAGTGACAATCCTCTTCATTTTTTCTTCTGGGGTAGTGAAAATAGGTATGAATATTGGCCTTTTATAAAAAGTGAAGTGGTATAAAATGAGCTTTCAAAAGGTAAGATATAACTGTAATACTCAAAGTAAGGCTTTGACCTGGGAACAACTTTTAGCTGAATTTCACAGCTTTATTGATAAAGTGTGCAGGAGTTTGTTCTCAGTTTCCCTACAGCATGCTCTCTGACAGTTGGATTTCAGATATTTGAGGTCTCTATAGAACATTTTGATAGAACTATCTAACAAACAATATTAGTAATATTTCCATTTTGAACTGTATTCTTATTTAACAGAAACTTACATTGTACTTATTCATCTCCAAAAGCATGTATTTATTTAAGCTATGACAACCATTTGAAGAATAGAAACTAAAAGTCAGTGATTTCTATTATTTGATCATTGTCCGAGTTTAAAAAATGAATTGCATAATGAGGTCTCTTTCGGGATTAAAATGATAAAAAATGCTATTTTGCCCAGCAGGCTCAGAAATTTAAGTGATTTGAGCAGTGTTACAGTTCTCTAGGTTATCCAACCTGGATGCTAATTTTAGTGTCATTTGATTCTTCATCCTAACTTCTTCCCTAGCTCCTTGTACAGTAGAAATAGCGTCTCTCTAGGGCTTTGTCTTCAATCAGTTTCATAAAGAGTTTATTTACAAGATTTTATATTACTGCTGGGCTGGAGTGATAGCACAGCGGGTAGGGCATTTGCCTTGCACATGACCAACTCGACTGACCCAAGTTCGATTCCTCTGCCCCTCTCAGAGAGCCGGCAAGCTACCAAGAGTTTCTTGCCTGCACGGCAAAGCCTGGAAAGCTATCCAGGACATATTCGATATGTAAAACAGAGTAACAAGTCTCACAATGGAGACGTTACTGGGCCCGCTTGAGCAAATCGATGAACAAAGGGAGGACAGTGCTATAGTGCTATCTTACTGCTCTGTTGATCTAAGTCATGCCCCTCCACCTGCATTATATGTTAAAGGTCACACTATAAGGTAGCACTGTAGCACTGTCCTGTTGTTCATGGATGTGCTCAAGTGGGCACTAGTAACGTCTCCATTGTGAGACTTGTTGTTACTGTTTTTTGGCATATCAAATATGCCACAGGGAGCTTGCCAGGCTTTTCCCTATGGGCGGGATACTCTTGGTAGCTTGCCGGGTTCTCCAAGAGGGGTGGAAGAATCGAATCTGGGCTGGCTGCATGCGAGGCAAATGCCCTACCCTCTGTGCTATCTCTCCAGCCCACTATAAAGTAATTCCATTAAAATGGTCATTAAGTTGAACTCCAGTTCTCTTATGACTGGAATCCTTTAACACAATCACACCCACAACTGGAAGAAACACTGCCATAGGAAAGAAGGAGATTGGCCAATAAGAGCCAAGGATAGAGTTCAGCTGAAATTTGCAGCTTCTTCTTAGGCTTCATCCTCTGTAACCAAGAGGAAACATATTTATGTTGTTTAGGTCACCCATTTGTGATTGAAAACCTGTCCAACTTACACAGGTAGAAAGTTTCCACTGATGAAAAAGATTTGAAAGACTAAGGTCTGAGTTGTTTTCTATACCTATGCAACCAGTCTCACGGTTTTCCTTAATGCACTGACCCTGCTGACAGATGACTTCCTGGGATAACTGCCAGCTTCCCCTTGCTGTTGTTATTGCAGCCCCTGGGTTTGCAGACATTGTCTTCTTCCTTTTCTAACTTCCCCTTCGGTGACAGGGGAGGTCAATATTAAAGAAACAAAAGTCCAGAATGCTAAGGTTGCCACTTTCACTTCCTCCTGCTGCTGAAGCCAACACTGCTTTGAATACAGTTAGTGCTAAGGAGCACCGAGCTGAGGAGAGAACACCACCACAAGAGGCTTGGCAATGAACTACCCTGGCAGGCGGTAATGTAAGACAGGTGGTTTCGGCGTGTCGTGCGGGGCACCTCTGGCCACAGAAGATGCCAGGATGATGCCTCTCACACGCCTGGCTGGGACGCTGATCCCAGCCATGGCTTTCTTCTCCTTTCTGAGATCGGAGCGGTGGGATCCTTGTGTGCAGGTATGTGGTTGGGGTAGTTCATCTCCTGTGAGATTTGCCTTACTTCTGACACACTGTTTTCTCCCCAGAACTTTCCACTGGGGACGCTAACTAGTTTCTTTTGTAAAAGCACTGTAGCACTGTCCTCCTATTGTTCATCGATTTGCTGGAGCGGGCCCAGTAACGTCTCCATTGTTGTTGTTGTTGTTGCTGTGTTTGGCATATTGAATACGCCATGGGTAGCTTGCCAGTCCATGCTGGTCTCTGTGTTTGTAAAAAAGAAATAATAAAAAGGGGAAGGGTCACTCATTTTACCTTTTGACCTGGGAAATATCTGGGATCAAGTAATTCTTGATAACAGGACACAAATAGGATACATTAGGATCCTGTACTGTTTCTGGTTTTACAAGTAATGTCTTTACATCAAGAGTTTTGTTTAAATGCTCTACCTTTTGATTTCTGGGTTTGAGGGTGATCTTGAAGGTGTTATTGAACTTCTCCAAACTTTTTCTCCCAACTCTGAAGTAATTATAATGATTGGCTCTTCAGTAGAGAGTTGGAAGAAGGCTGCTTGCTTTTCCTTGGTTTCAAGCTATCAGTTCTCTTTTTGTTTGTTTTCCAATTGCTTTCCCGAGATGGTTCCCTTTCCATCTCAGGAATAAGAAAGTTTTGTGTCCCAAAATAAAGAACTTTTTATATGGATTTCAGACTTCTGAATCTAGACATAATGTTGTATTTAAAGGTTAAAAAAAAAAGACATGGGAACTGGAGTGATAGCACAGTGGGGAGGGCATTTGCCTTGCACGTGGCTAACCCGGGTTTGATCCTCGGCATCCCAAATGGTCCCCTGAGCAACTGCCAGAAGAGATTCCCGAGTTTAGAGCTGGGAGTAACCCCTGAGCATAGCCAGATGTGGCCCACAAACCAATAATAATAATAATAATAATAATAATAATAATAAATTTTAAAAAAGAAAAAGAAACAAAACTAGAAAAGAGGAGAGATGAAGAAATAAAGAGGATGAGAGATAAGGAGAACAGGAAGAAAAAGAGATGTAAATGTCAGGTAAAGCGATGGTTAGTATCCTCATTAAAGATGGATCTCTTTTTTTTTCATAAATTTGACAATTGCTTTGGAAGTTTATGGTAGGACCCAATAGCTGAGATATGTTTGGGAAGTAAGAGGTTGGTCATATCAGGAACTTGAGTACATAAACTGTTAGCGAGTCTTTGAAGCTAAGGATTTGGGAGAAAATGATTTATTATATAACAAAGATTAGTTTTTGTAAAGCTCTCCTTTCTTTTAATTTCCTGCATGCACCCCTGTTCCTTATTTTTCTCCCTGTGCCCCTTCTTGCTGCTGAGTGAATGGAGATATAGATCCTACATTCAGGGTTACTCTTGGGAAAACAATTACATTTACACTTGATTTATTCCTTTCCCTAGGTCGTTTCAAACCCTTTCTCCAAAAGCTGTCTATTCCTGTCTATTCTCTCAGTTATATCCATGGGCAGGTCCTTAGTTTCTTTTACTCTTAGTAACCAATTTGATAACTACCTAGGTTCTCTCCTTAAATTTACTCTCTGCATATATTTAGTGTGTTTCTTTTCCTGTGATTCTGTTCTAAATAATGACTACCCATATGAACTTATAATAGGGACTGGAGATATTGTATGGTTATTATCGCAAGGTTATTTCTGAGGACAACATATGGTACATTAGATGTCACCAGAAGTGATCTCTAAGCAGAGCCAGAGTAAGTTGGTTCCCTTTCTATCTCAGGAAAAAGAGGGTTTTGTGTCCCCCAAAGAACTTTCTATGTGAATTTCAGACTTTTGAATCTAGGCGTAATATTCTATTCAAAAGTTGAAAAATAAATAAGACTGGAAAAGAAAAGGAGAGATAGGGAAATAGAGAGAGATGGGGAGATAAGGAAAGCAAGAAGAAAAAGAGTTGTAAATGCCAGCGAAAGCAACGGTATCTTTTCTTTGTGCAACACTGGGCACCACTGGGTGTCTCCTCAAATAGCAACAAAAAAATTAATAGTAACTGCTGATTGCAATTAGGGGAATTTTCTCCTATCCGACCTTTGCACTGACCAAGAGCACTTTTCCTTCAGCTGGAATGCTTTCTTCCTAGAGCAGTGCTGCCCAATGTTGTTGTCAGGTCGATTATTATATATATATATATATTTTTTGGTGTATATGGTTGCCCTCTTCTAGATTAAGAAGGGTATGTTTATTTGTAGCTTGCTAAGGAATTTTATACATTTTTTTATCATTTTTTTATTAGTGAAACACCATGAAGTACACTTATAGACTTATAAATTTTTGTGCTTGGGTTTCAGTTATACAATGATCAAGTACCCATCCCTCCACCAGTGCCCATCCTCCCCCACCACGGGTCCTCGCATCCCTCCCTCCCATCCCCCCCCCCCCCCCCCCGTCCCACCCTGCCGCTGTGGCAGGGCATTCCTCCCTGTTCTCTCTCTCTTCTTTTGGGTACTGTGTTTTGCCAGAGAGGCATTGAGTGGCAATCATGTTTGGTCTATAGACTACTTTTAGCATGTCTCTCCCACCCTGGGAGGGTCTTCACAACACCCTTTCTTTGGTGCTCTCTTCTCTATCTGAGCTTCCTTCTCACCTAGCACATGTGGCTGGCCTTCAAGTCATGGAGCAAAATTCCTGGTACTAATCTGAGCCCTTCCTGGGTGTTAGTCTCCCGTTTTGTTGCTTTATGTTCCCCAGATGAATGCAATCTTTCTGTGTCTATCCCGCTCTTTCTGACTCATTTCGCTTAACATGATACTTTCCATGTAGTACCACTTGTATGTAAATTTCATAACTTCATCTTTTCTAACAGCTACATAGTACTCCATTGTGTAAATGTACCAAAGCTTCTTTAACCAGTCATCTGTTCTCGGGCACTCAGGTTTTTTCCAGATTCTGGCTATTGTAAAGAGTGCTGCAATGAACAAACAATTGCAGATGTCACTTCGACTATACCTTTTTGCCTCTCTGGGATATATTCCCAGGAGTGCTAGAGCTGGGTCAAATGGGAGATCAAATTCTAATTTTTTGAGAATCGTCCATACTGTTTTCCAAAAGGGTTGGACCAGCCTGCATTCCCACCAGCAGTGAAGGAGGGTCCCTTTCTCGCCACATCCGCGCCAGCACCTGTTGCTTTTGTTCTTGTGGATGTGGGCCAGTCTCTGTGGTGTGAAATGATATCTCATTGTTATTTTGATCTGCATCTCTCTGATGATTAGTGATGTAGAGCATTTTCTCATGTGCCTTTCTGCCATTCGGATTTCTTCTTTGCGAAAGTTTCTGTTCATTTCCTCGCCCCATTTTTTGATGGGGTTGGGTGATTTCTTCTTGTGTAGTTTAACCAGTACCTTGTATATCCTTGAAATCAACCCCTTGTCGGATGTGTATTTGGTGAATATTCTTTCCCATTCTGTAGGCTGTCTTTGTATTTTGGTCACTGTTTCTTTTGAGGTGCAGAAGCTTCTTAGTTTAAGATAGTCCCATTTGTCTATCTCTGTTTTCACTTGCTAGGTCGATTATATTTTAATGACCCAAATTCAACTAAATTTGAGCTAAATTAATGAAAGTTTAAGTTTCACCTATGGCTTAAATTTTCCTGGTATCCACAGTAAAAAATAAAGAAATCAATTTACTTTCTAATGTTTTTATTCCCTTTTGCTGTTTTTAAGTCTGGAAGTCACATCCTGTGCTTCTTAGGTAGGCCATGCTCTGCCAGAGGCTGAACCAAAAGTCTTGGACATGTACTCTAGCAAGGCATGTACTCTACCATTTATGCTATAGGCACCAAAATTATGTTACTTTTAATATTTCTATTTGACCCAATATGTTAAAACTTTATTTTAAAATACAAGTCATATTAAACTATTCATGAGATATTTGTATTCTCTTTTCCATTGTGTCTTTGAGATTTAATACATATCTTAAGTGTGCTATATGCTTTAGCGAAGATCATTAAAACCTTTTATGCTTAATAGTCATTATATGTTAAATATGGCTACATATGTTAAATATGACAACTTTGTTAAATATGACTTTCATATTTAACAACCTGTTATATTCATGGCTTGATCCCTCTCAGAAACCAGATCTATGTTTAATATCTCCTTCTTGAAGAGTTATATATATATATAACTCATACTATATTTGCTTCTAATCTCCCTATACTGCTTTATCTTTTATAGTATGTCATTATGGTTTTGCTTATTTTTTTCACTGTTTGGCTTCACTGTTTTCTGTTTGTTTGTTTGTTTGTTTGTTTTGGAACACAACTGGTGATGCTCAAGCTTACTACTGTCTCTGTGCTCGGGGATCCTTCTATTGGGTTCTTGGAACTATATGGCTTTCTAGGATGGAACCTATGTCAGCTGCATGCAAGGCAAGCATCTGACCTGCTGTACTATCTCTTTGACCCCATATTTGCTTTCTTTTTGACAGTAAAACTATAGAAGAGGAAGGGTCATGGATGAATTTCTTTACTCCTATGTTTCAGTGCCTTTCATATAGTAGTCATTCAATTTATATGCACTGTAGCACTGTAACACTGTCATCCCATTGTTCATTTTGTGAGACGTGTTGTTACTGTTTTTGGCATATCGAATATGTCACGGGTAGCTTGAGAGCAGGTAAGATACTCTCAGCAGCTTGCTGAACTCTCTGAGAGGGGCTGAGGAATCGAACTCAGGTCGGCTGTGTGCAAGGCAAATGCCCTACCAGCTGTGCTATCATTCCAGCCCAATTTATATGTACTAAATGAAAATGTGCATTGGTATAAGACAAATTATGAGTTCCCTCCTAATTAGTCTCTATACCCCTCTGTTACAGGGTTCATCACTCTCACCACACATTACCTCATTTGAATGACTTTTTTCACCACTTCCCACTTCACCTTGTTTTCTTTCTTTTCTTTTCTTCCCATATATTGAAGTTTTACTGTTCTCTCGAGGACTTCCTTGAAACCCCTCTTCCTCAGAATTATTCTATGATCCTTGAGTTCACAATGGACCTTTTTTCTTTACTGTACTAGCAGAAATCCTTCTAAGCCTAGTTTATGGCCCTTTTTGGTTGTATGTATTGTGATTCTTTAAAATCTAGTTAGAAAGATTATTGAAGTTGGAACCATACCACACTTGTCTTTGTACTTCCGAAAGCACTTAGCAGACAATGCCTATAATATAGATTTAAACAAATTTATGTTCAATCAGTTATCCATTCATTTATTCAACAAATATATTTATGCCTTGACAATTTGCCAGACACCAATCTGAGTGCTGTGGGGCTAGCAGAAAATGAGATCTTCACCTCTTTCAATCTTAAGAGGAAGATGAACAATGCTTATTGTCACATGGACAATGGAATGGTAGATATATCTGTAGAGGACAAAAGTGGTTAATGAAGAGCACCCAGTACTATCCTTTATAAGATGTTATGTTTCTGAGGAGCACGCCAAGGGTAAAATTTAAATATGCAAATTAAGTAAAGAGCTATATGTATGTCCCAGAAGACTTTATGCTTTGTTATATCTCTATGTATTCTTCTTTAAAACATTTTTAAAGATAAAATATATATTTTATGAGTAATATGGGGGTATGTGGTATGAAATTAATAATCACTAATAGTAACTTTTATATTTATTGATCACTTATACTGAAATAGATTTTGAGATAATCTTTTGAAATGTATTGTCTGATTTAATCATTTAATGTATTTTGATTTTGAAAAACAGAAAATGAAAATTATCTAGCTTAGTCAAGAAATTTTGTTGAAGAAATCAGAGACTTAAAAATGGCAAAAAGATGCTAGAGAACAAGACTTAAAACAAATTTGAGAAAGTTTGACAGAAACCAACACAGGAAGCAATGCAGCCAGTTCTTGTCCTGATTTGCTAGACTCTAGTACTGGTAAACTATATTTGCTATGACCACCACTGTTCCTAGGAATCCATGCACTTCAAAGATTTCACTCCCCACCCCACTCTCCCTCAAATATGTATCACATAGTCAAAGAGCCAAAATTGAGAAAATGCTGTTGACAACTTGTGGGCTGTTACCTTGAGAGTTCTGGACCTTGTCTAGTAGTCTCATGGGGGATGTATACTGTGAGTGGGTAGGTAGAAGCAAATACCAAAAACTCTTTGTCCTAAATCATATTAAAGAACAGGAATGAAACTGAGAGCTTCTGAACTTTAGAGATTCAGTTCTCCACCACCTGTTTCTATTGATTCTCATAATATGCTTCTATCAGAGACAGATAGTAGAAGTGAAAGTATTTAGTAGACAAAAGGTTATTTTCTTCTCCATCTATAGTGTTTTTAAAGTATGATGTGAGAGAATAAATGAATTGATAACTGAATGAATAAAAGAAAGGATAAATGGGTGGATAGATGAATGACTGAATTTAAGAAGATTGAGAGATGACATCGAGGTAGTAGAGGAATGACTGGCACCTGAGTTGCACAGGAGGAAGAGAGTGGCTTGGAACGCCTTCAAGAGTTCGAAGAAATAGCTAAGAGGACAAAGAACCTCCGGCTCCAGGCACATCTCTTCGATTCCACTGTTCTTCCTGCACTAACATATGCCTCAGAGACCTGGGCCCTATGAAAATAGGATGAGAACACTATTCGGTTCTCCCAAAGAGGAATTGAGAGAGCTATGCTTGGAGTATTATGCTTCACTCAACTGAGAGAAAGAATCTGGAGTTCTGACCTCCATCGATGATCAAGAATCAGGGATGCTGTCTTGTCTGCCAAGGTGTCAAAAATCAGATGGGCTGGACATAATGAGATTTGGAGACAAGTGCTGAACTAGAGCCATTAGTGACTGGATTCCACCAAACATCAAAAGATCACGGGAAAAAAAATCGCGGGGCCGTTCACCTACAAGATGGTCAGACTTCTATGTCAAGACCCTGAATGAACAGTTTGAGGCTCTTCATGTTCCTGTAGCGAGACACCACTGGGCTACACTAGCATGCAACAAGGACGAATGGAGATGTTACTGGTGCCCGCTCAAGCAAATCAATGAGTAATGGGAAATCAAGTGATCAAGTTATAAAGTGAAAGATGACATAGGGACAAAAGTGAATGATTTGGGACATTTTGGTTATGGTGGAAATGCAGTAAATTTATCAAAATGATAAAAAGTAATACAGTAGTCATGCTACCTAAGCCACAATAAAAATAAATAAATAAATAAATAAATAAATAAATAAAGGAAGATTGACTATACTGTGTACTGGTAAAAATGGTTTCTTAGACTCTGGCCTTGTAGAAGTGAGTTTCCATAGTATTCTGTTGAGGTGCATGAGTAAGATACTGTATCTAATGTTTTATCATTGCAGGTGGTTCCTAATATCACATACCAATGCATGGAGAAGAATCTCTACAGAATCCCTGACAACATTCCTAAATCAACTGAGAATTTGGACCTGAGCTTTAATCCGCTGAAGCATTTAAGTAGTCATAGCTTCTCCAACTTCCCAGAACTGCAGGTGCTGGATTTAAGCAGGTAAGTAATAAGATTTTACACACACGTGATAAAATGTTCATTGCACTGTAATTAAACTTTTGGCCCAGAAAGTCTGACCTTGTGGAGTATCATTTCCATTCACTTATTTACTCATTAAAAATATCTCTTTAGCTGCTCTATGACTTTTGGTAAGCCATCTTCCTTCTCTAGGTGTGTGCATTTTATTCTGTGAAATATACAGCAGAAGTAGAACCAATATCTAGTGCTGACTCCATTTAGGAGTTTTATTGTAAGTTAGGAGGCAAAACGGATTCAAACACTTGAAACATATATTCACTACTTGAAATATATTGTGAATTTTTCTAGAAAACGAGTTTTTTGATGTATAAAATACAACCCCAGCAATTAAGATAGCCATATGACTGAGCACTTCCAGGTATGTCCTTGGTGGCCCTTGACAATGCAAAACCTGAACAAAACAATATTTTCAGTTTGCAATGGGTCTTTTGTATTGAGTTGTCTGGCCCAATTGGCTGACTATAGCCAGGAGTAACCCTAGGAATCCCTGGGTACTGCTTGAGAGTCCAAGAGGAAGAGAAGAAGAAAAGGGAGGAAGAACAGGCAGAGGAGAAGAAGGAAGAGGAGAAGCGTTTTTCATTGATTTCCTCAAGCAGGTACCAGTAATGTCTCCATTGTGAGACTTGTTACTGTTTTTGGCATATCAAAAATGTTATGGGTAGCTTGCCAGGCTTTGCTGTGCGGGCGGAATATTCTTCGTAGTTTGTCAGCTCTCTGAGGGGGTGGAGGAATCGAACCCAGGTCGGCCACCTGCAAGGCAAATGCCCTACCCGCTATGCTATTGCTCCAGCCCCAAACCTGAGACAGAGATAATAATATCACAGTACATAATAGGCTATGTACAATTTAAAGTGTAATACATTGTGCTTTTTAGATGAGTTCCCTTCTCTGCAGTGATGGGTCAACTGATTTCATGAGCTGAGTAGGATTACTTGATCACTTGACTTCCTGTTAATCATCGATTTGCTTGAGTGGGTGCCAGTAATGTCTCCATTCATCCCTGTAGTGTGCTAGTGTAGCCCAATGGTGTCTGTTCATTCTAGGAACACAAAGAGCCTCAAACCGATCATTCACAGTCTTGACAAAGAAGTCTGACCATCTTGTAGGTGGGCGGCCAAGCAGTTTTTTGACATGTCATGGAATCTAGTTGGTAATGGCTCTAGTCCAGTGGTCATCTCCATATCTCATTACGTGTCCAGCTCATCTGATTTTCCATGCCTTGGAAAACGAGAGAGCGTCCCTGATTCTTGACCTTTGACAGAGGTCGGAACTCCAGATCCTTTCTCTCATTTGAGTGAAACGTAATATTCCAAGCATAGCTCTTTCAATTCCTCTTTGGGAAACCCAAAGAGAGTTCTCATCCTGTTTTCCTATGGCCCAGATCTCTGAGGCATATGTTAATGCAGGAAGAACAGTGGAATCAAAGATATGTGCCCGGAGCTGGAGCTTCTTTGCCCTCTTAGCTATTTCTTCGACCTCTTGAAGGTGTTCCAAGCTGCTCTCTTCCTCCTGCACAACTCAAATGCCAGGTCATTTGTCATGTTGACTTCTCAACCTAAGTACATATAACTGTTGCATTCAAAGATGGTTGTTCTGTTGAGAGTGAATGGAACATCAGGAATGAGACTGTTTCTCATAAAATTTGTCTTCGTGAGATTCAGCTGTAGTCCAACCTTTCCACACTCACAGTCGAAGGCGGTCAGCATTTGTGCTGCTTGACTAATATTTGGTGTTATTAGAACAATATCATCAGCAAAACAGAGGTGGTGTAGTTGCCAACTGTCTCTCTTCACTCCCATTCCTTCCCATTTCAGTTGTTGCAAAGGAGTAGATTATCCATGACTTCTACTCAGACCTCTTTGATAGCCACATCCACCTGCCCACATACCAAATTCCGCAGGATGGATATGTAATTCCCAACATTCTCCCTTCCAAAATCCAACATGCCATTTCGTCGGTAAAGAAATGAATAGCACCTGGCCCAGACAAGGTCATACCTGAACACCTGAAGAACCTGCCATCAGTACTCATCAATACACTGCCTTGGATCTTCACGCACTACCTCTCTGAATGCAAGGTTCTGTCCCAATGGAAAACCAGCAGGACTGTACTACTGTACGAGTAGGATTATAAGAACATGAAATATTGAAGTGATATAGGAGATAGGGAATTGGGAAGAAACAAATAACCCAAGCAGAAATATGTTAAGACCAAATAAAAATCATCCACTGAGATATTATGAGAAGGAATAATAGCTAAGCTGTTCTTCTTTGATACTGGAAAGTATATGTATTCTGTGTGTTTACATATATCATGTGTATTATATGTTTTACATAGATATGTTTTTATCTATGTTTACAATTTTCAAGGGTTCATATCTGCTTCCACTTACAATGCTGTCTTCATCTTAGTATTTACTCTTTAAAGTGATGAGTCTGATAACCTCTCAGTATTGCAAACCACAATGTCCAAAGGAGAGAGAGAGAGACAGAGACAAAGAGACAGACAGAGACAGAGACAGAGACAGAGATAGAAATAGAGACAGAGAATGAAATTGTTGCCACAGAGAGACAGGCTGGTGGGGGAGGAGGGGTGGTGGGAGGGAAACTAGGGACATTGGTGGTGGGAAATGTACACTTGGAGAAGGATGGGTACTGGAACATTGTAGAAGGATGGGTACTGGAACATTGTATAACTGAATCCCAACTATAAACAGCTTTGTAACTGTGTATCTCATGGTGATTCGATAAAAATAAATTAATTTATTAATTAAGTAAAGTGATGATTCACCTTTGATTAAACATAGACATGGCCATACAGACACAAGATTTTGGGCTCTGCAGTCATACAACTTAAAGGAACTTAAGAATTAATGCCTAAATTAGAGACGTGATAACTGAGGTCCAAAGAAGCAAAGTGGTTTCCAAGTTTACTTACTTGGAGATCAACAGAGGCACCTTGATTTGTATTTTTGCTCTTTTTCTAGTGCTTTTTCTCCTGTACTCAGTATCCTGTTACCAAAAATTAACAAAATCTGGACTAACATGCTTAGGCCCTCCCTGAATATCCTAAAGGGAATAGGGCATGTGGGATACACCATAAATGTAGTTCATGTTGCACTAGGAAAGTGCTCCTTTGCAGAGTGTAACCACTGTGACTTATAGAGCTATCAAGAGTTTATAATAGCTCACTGCTTATTGACTGAAAGAGAGCCTTGCTTTAAAGACACCCCTATGAACATTGTACATAACATGACTTCTAGTTCTCTTGGGTAAAATTTGGAATATTTGTCTGGCATCTCATATCCCATCACAGCTTCATTTGCCTCTTGTACTTTAGGCAGTGAAACTGTTTCTCTTGGTTCTTCTAAGTTTCATGGTTTCCATCTATCTGCGGGATATTGTCTCTACCATTGTACTCACTTATCTTTCTGGTAAATTCCTGCTTATCTTTCATATTTCAATATCATTGTTTCCTGAGAAGACTGCTTTTTTTCTGGATTTGGGTCACATCTGGTAGTGTTCATAATATATTCTATGGGACTCCAGAAAGCAAGCCACAAATGGTGGAACAAATTCTGTGAAGGAACAGATTTTTTTAAATTTATAAAAACTTATATATTGCTGTTACTGCTGGAGTGATAGCACAGCGGGTAGGGCGTTTGCCTTGCACGCAGCCAACATGGCCGACCCGAGTTCGATTCCTCCGCCCCTCTCGGAGAGCCCGGCAAGCTACCGAGAGTATTGGATATGCCAGACACAGTAACAACAAAGTCTCCAATGGAGACGTTACTGGGCCCGCTCGAGCAAATCGATGATCAACTGGAGGGCCTTTACCTTTACCTTTACCTGGTAGTGTTCAGGGGGAACTTCTGGTTCTGTACTCAGGAATCACTCCTGGTGGTGCTTGGGGGACCATAAGGGAGGCCAGCAATCAAACCTGAGTCAGCTGTGTACAGGGCAAATGCCCAACCTGCTGCGCTGTTGCTCCAGACCTTCTGAGAATTCTGCTTTGTCCCCCACTTGTATGCCAGTGCCCTTGATATAAATTGTTATAACATATTTTTTTCACAAGACTCACTCATGTGATGATCTGTTGCTTACATTTGCCAGTGACTCCTGCAACTTTTAAATATCTAGCTATCATACGTGAATAGCTTTCACAAACTCAAAAGGCATAAAGGTAACTGCAATACTTATGAGTTCTTTGTTTTTGCTTTAGGGCCACCACACAGATGTTTCTTGGAATTATACCTGGTGGTTTCTGGGGACCATATGGGGTGCTGGGAATTGAAACCAGGTCAGCCATGTCCAAAGCAAACACCCTATCTGCTGTACTATCTCTCTTGCCTTTTTTTATGAGTAATTTGAAAAAAATGTCTTTTATCATGATTTGCAACTATGATCTGTGTTATCTGCAGCAATGGGATATATAACCAAGATTATGTGTGGCAGGAAATGACTAAAGTTTATCTAAGGCTGTAACTATTCTATCAACTATATACAGTTTTTGTGTATTTCTATTGTTGATCTTTAATTCTTTCTGATGAATGTGCTACTTAGTGTGTGTGTGTGGTATATAAAAAAAGTTGGTCATTGTGGCCCGTAGCATAATACAAAACCTGCTGGACTTTTTATTTTCCAGATGACCACCTAGCTTGACTCATATCTTTACATATATATGTATACTTATTTGGCATATCAGATCTGTATGAAAAGCTAGAGTTGATATATCATGTGGGATTTTTATTCAGCATAAATAACATATAATTGATATCTCTTTTCTTGGTAGGTGTGAAATTGACATAATTGAAGATGATGCCTATCAAGGCTTAAACCACCTTTCAACCTTGATATTGACAGGAAACCCCATGCAGACTTTAGCCCCTGGAGCCTTTTCGGGTCTATCAAACTTAAAGAAGCTGGTGGCTGTGGAGATCAACCTATCATCTCTCGAGGATTTTCCCATTAGTCATATCAGAAGCTTGAAGGACTTGAATGTGGCTCATAATTTCATCCATTCCTTCAAATTGCCTGATTATTTTTCTAACTTACCCAACCTGGAGAACTTGGACCTTTCCAATAACAAGATCCAAAATATTTATCATAAAGACTTAGAAGTTCTACATCACGTACCTCTACCCAAACTCTCTATAGATTTGTCTATGAACCCTTTAGACTTTATAGAACCAGATACCTTTAAAGAGATTAAACTCCGTGAATTGATTTTCAGAAGTAGTTTTAGGAATAACAATATAATGAAAAGCGGCATTCGAGGTCTGGCTGGTATAAAAATTGATAGATTGGTTCTGGGAGAATTTAGAAATATAAGGATGTTGGATATTTTAGAAATATCTACACTGGAGGGGTTGTGCAACTTAACCATTGGGGAAGTTCGAATTGTACAATTGAGAGAATTCCCAAGGAATACTACTTATATATTTAATTGTTTTGTAAATGCTTCTGCCATAGCTTTAGTGAGTTTGGATTTAACTGAACTAAAAACATTTCCTAAAGATTTCAGGTGGCAGCAATTAGAATTTGTTCAGTGTGATTTTGAAGAATTTCCCATATTAAGGCTCACATCTCTCAGAAAGTTAGTTTTCATTCTCAATAGAGGTAAGATGATGTTTACTGATGTTGAGCTACCAAACCTTGAATATCTAGATATCAGTCAAAATGGCATCAGTTTCAAGCATTGCTGTTCTCATAAACAATTTCGGACAACCAGACTGAAGCATTTAGATATGAGCTCCAATGGCATTATTTCCATGAATTCAAATTTCGTGGGCTTAGAGCAACTAGACTATCTTGATTTCCATTATTCTACTTTGAAACAGACCAATGAGTTCCCAATATTTTTATCACTCAAGAGTCTCACTTACCTTGATATTTCTCATACTCAAACCCACATTGTCTTTCATGGTATCTTTGATGGGCTAATAAGCCTCCGAACATTAAAAATGGCTGGTAATTCTTTTCAAAACAACTTCCTTCCTAATATTTTCATGGAACTGGGTAACTTGACCTCTTTGGACCTTTCTAGATGTCAACTGGAACAAGTGTCCTCAACGGCATTTGACTCACTGCCTAGACTTCAGTTGCTAAATATGAGTCACAACAACCTCAAGGAACTTGACATACTTCCTTATGAATCTCTTAGCTACCTCCAGGTTCTAGATTACAGTTTTAATCGCATGGTGACCTCCAAAGTACAAAAATCACATCATCTTCCAAATAATCTCACTTCCTTAAATCTCGTTCAAAACAACTTTGTTTGTGTTTGCGAACACAAGAATTTCCTTCAGTGGATCAAGGACCAGGAGAAACTCTTGGTGAATACTGATCAAATGCTGTGCATGTCACCTTTAAATATGCAGGGCATGCCTGTGCTAAATTTCAAAAAGGAAACCTGTCAGATGAGCAATGTTGTCATTAGTCTATTGGTTCTCACTGTACTTGCTGTAGCCGTGGTTTTACTTCTTATCTATAGGTTCTATTTCCACCTGATGCTTCTTGCTGGCTGCAAAAGATATGTCAGAGGTGAAAGTGTTTATGATGCCTTTGTTATCTATTCAAGCCAGGATGAGGACTGGGTGAGGAATGAATTGGTGAAGAATTTGGAGGAAGGGGTGCCCCGATTTCAACTCTGCCTTCACTACCGAGACTTTATACCTGGTGTGGCCATTGCTGCCAACATCATCCAGGAAGGTTTCCATAAAAGCCGGAAAGTTATTGTTGTGGTGTCTCAGCACTTCATCCAGAGCCGATGGTGTATCTTTGAGTATGAAATAGCCCAGACCTGGCAATTTCTGAGCAGCCACCGTGCTGGCATCATCTTCATTGTCCTTCAGAAACTAGAGAAGTCTCTGCTCAGGCAGCAGGTTGAGCTGTATCGTCTTCTTAGCAGGAATACGTATCTTGAGTGGGAGGACAGTGTATTGGGGCGCCACATCTTCTGGAGAAGACTCAGGAAAGCTCTCCTTGATGGTAAAACTTGGGTTCCAGAAGGAACAGAGGATGCAGAAGACAGCCAGCATGAAGCCGAAGACCCCACCTAAAGAGACAAAGCTACCAAGATGCTTCTTTATCCAGTTGGACCATATATTTGTTTCAGTAACAACTAGTGCTAAAGGCAGGGGATTCAATGGTGCCCAGGATACACAGACTGTTAATCCAATGGAGTTTGCAGGAATGAAGAAATGATCAACATGCTAAACTGAAGACCTTGCAGATAGCTGTTTCAACCAACTCAGTCAAGGAGTTCATTACAGGAAAGATCAACTCCATTCTTAACACATCAAATGGAATTAGAACTAAGAGACTAGTCTTAGAAGACAGAGGAAGACATAATTTTATATATCCAAGTGGAAACTACTCCTATTTGTGTTATTAACCATCTAAAAGATGTTTTAGTAGTTTCAACCAAGTTGGATAGTTACTTAATTTTTGTTTCTCTTTTGAATACAATTTAAATTCCAGGTGACGACTCACAAACCTGATTCAGAACTCTATCCAGTTAACCACAATTTCCTTAACAGAGATTCAAGTCTTAAACCTAACTTAACTAACCTAAAGTATACCTAAGGACAAAAATGTTACCAAATGACTAGGGTCTTCTGGAATATCTGTTAATTATATTTTCTTATTCACAAGCACCCTTGTCATTTTATAGCATGCTTTAGTTACTAAATAATGATCTCTGATATATTCTTATTTTTGTAAATTCTGTTATATTTTTCTTATCATCTTTATAAATTTTAATCATAAATAAGGCAATTAGAAATGTGCTAGAAATATGCATATTTAACCATTATTTTCAGGCAAATATTGTTAAACCTGGCCGAAATATTCCCAGAGGAGTCACACGAAGACAAGTTGCAATATTATAAGTAAAGGGTCTTTATTGTCTAGCTCAAGCTAGGGCCCTCATCCGGCTCACCATCACAATTATCCTATAGGCAGACTTCTTGGAGCAAGAGGCCCCAACTCTCAAAAGTGAGGGCCTTTTATACCATAACATTATATAACAGGGATTTTCCACAGTCCACCTTTGGGCCACAGTCTGAGGGGCTTTTCACTACTTGTACTTAGCTGATTGGTAATAAATAGGAGTTACATAAGGTTACATAGGAGTTATATAGCGGGGACTTCCCTACCTGCATCTGAATGGTAACCCTTAGTTGACCTCATCATGGCTAGCTAACTTCGGGGAAATCATGACTAAATTCCAGGTATCTGTGGTCAATTCCAGAAATTCTGGAATCGAAACTTCGGCCTACTTACTCCTGGCTTCTTTACGAGCCTGTCATGGCGCTGCCTTTGCTTCTGTATCTCTCATTATGTCACTCATTTTGTCACTAGATGCCACTCTTAAGTTATTACCTACTAAGTTATGACTGTCATGAATAGAGTACTAAAATAATTTGATTGAAATTGACTTGCATTGCAATAGAACGAGATAAGTCTAACGTCATAACTTCCTAGTTTATAATAAACAGTTCTAGCTAGGGGCAGAGAAAGAAATGGCATAACATCAGGGAGTCAGTTCTTCTCAATGATTCCAGAAATATATGACTAAAAGAACTGAGGCAATCACATATGAAAAGGAGCAGAAAGGATTTCCTTCTGACGTAATTGAGTATTTTCTGGTGGAACCTTGAATTCCTAGAGGACTGAATTTTTTTTAAGAATTCTTTCAAATTTTTATTATTGAATCACTATGAATTACAAAGTTACACAGTTATTTATGATTGAGTTTCAGGTTTACAGTGTTCCAAGGCCCGTCCCCTTACAAGTGTCCACTTCTATCCCCCAATGTCTCCAGTTTCTGTTTAGTCTCCCAACCTACCTCTATGATTCTATCTTTTTCTTTATTTTGCTTTTTTTCCTTTTAGGTTCTGTGGTTTGCAATACTGTTACTCATAGGGTATTATGAATATCACTTTATTTTCTTTCAACAGCCAGTTCTTGGGGAGGAGGTGTGGGGGGAAGGTGGAGGATGGGTCAAAGAAAGGACCACAGTGATAATGATAGAGGGAAGTGGTCACTCTGAATGAGGACTGTTGACTGACTAAAGGGAGGGAGTCAACATTTCTGTTTCTTCCTGGGAATGCCTCCTTGAGTACATCTAGGAAAGTACAGATGTGATCACTGAGAATATAGTGTCCCTGAGGCTAATGTTGGTTTCGTGGAAGAGGAATTCTCAGAAAAGTACACTTACCCAACTTCCCCAGAATCATACCTTCAGAGAAAGGGCAATGAGGAAATTTGGAGAAGAGAGCTGTTGAAACTGGGAAAATGTCTCCCTGCTCTCAGGATTGTGTTTGTCACGGAGTGTATAGAGTGTATTTTGGTTGCAGCATGACTGGAGTTGTTGAATGTAGTTGTAGTTGGGTGTTTCTTTTGTTGTAGTTGTTTTGTTTTGTTAAGTCCTGATCAGGACTTACTCCTGTTTCCAGACTCAGAGATAATCCCTAGTAAAAATTATAATACCATATGGGGTACTTGGAATTGAACCTGGATTGGCTGCATCCTAGGCAAATGCCTTAGCCACCATAAGATACTACTAGTCTCTCAGTATGTTTCTAACTTTCACATGTTTCTTGGTCTCACATGTTAGTGAAAGTAGATGTAGGTATTTGTGAACATAACACTACATGTTTGTGTGTGTGTGAGAGAGAGAGAGAGAGAAAGAGAATAAGAAAAAGAAAGAGAGAGAGAGATTAGATGGCATTGTGTGACTATGTGATCATATCTTTGTTCAGGAAAGTATGGTTCTTTCTTGATGTGGATGTTTATGGCAGTTAAAAATGGATTCTCTACTCTTATGCTTGTAAATTTTTTTGAGTGAGCCTCCCAAACAGCACTCAGGGGCCCAGGTGCCAATTTCAGGGATACTTGACCAATTAGACCAGGCATTTCAACGATGCAGCAATGTAGTTGTACTGTATCAGCCCCAGTGGTGCTGGGGATAACTTGATGTATCCTTGGAAATTCTTAGAGATAACATCTGGCAGTTCCCAGGGACCATGTAGTTACTGGGTTCAAACTCAGGTCCTTGTGAATGCAAAGCCTATGCCACTGATCTATTAGCAATGTCCCTGTATCCCTGTACATGCTTCTTATACATAAACATCTACATACAAATGTATGCCTGAAGCGTCTTTATGTAATTTGACACTTTGTGTGAGTATGTGTTCTGCACTCTACAAGAGTTACAAGGAGGGAATCAGAATATGAGAGAATTTTCTATTACAAGTTACTTATAAGGCACTGACTTCTCTTCAGTGATCTTAGCTAGATTTAGAGTTTAGAAATTTGCAGATAATGAACAGTCAGAAAATATGACAGACATGGAAGTTATCTAAAGAAGAAAGTTGAATCTAAAAAGGATTTCTTGTAGCCACAAAAGACTCTGGATTAAAGAGAAATGTCAAGTATAGAGAATTTAGCACTGATTATAATATTATAATCTGTGTAGTGGGCTACATCTTGGAACATATGGAACACTTAAAATCATTAGTGAATCTTCTATACGGGTGAGGTAGCAGATCAAGAATTGGTTTTTCCAATGAACTGACAATAAGATCTGAAGTTCATAGATGTCAATGGGACACATAATAAGCAAGTGGCAGCCTTGCTCGTGACCTCCAGCCTACTCAGGGCAACTCATATTCCACTACAGCTCATTGCTCAGTGCTGATGGCTGACAAAATGAGAAGTGAAACCTCTGAGTTCTCTGGGTATTGACATATGCTAAGGGTCTGTCACTAAAAACATGACTCATTAGGGAAATGCAGAGAGAGATTAGAGAGACAAAATGATGAATTTATAAGACATTAATTCCCATAAAAGATCTGAGAAAGACCCAGAGTTTACATGGACAATAGAATGAATTCATTCAAAGTAGAAAATTAGAAAAATAAACAAGTTAACACCAGTAATTTAGAACTAGAGGAGAACAAACTGGTGGGAAGACCAACACAATAATCATTAATATAGTGTTTTCTAATCCTAACATCTTAAATCTACATATACTATCGGCACATTCTTTCCCAACCATATGCTTTTGAAGATAAACTGCAGGAAGGATTTGATACTCACAACCCTCAACTCTAAATGCTTTGGCTTTCACTTTTCTTGAGTGTCTAGTTAAAAAAAAGATCAAATTAGTACAAAATTATTTGATAAAGCTATTGTAATATAGCTGCATTTAAACTAATACATATTTCAATACAAAGGACACAATTTGGGTGTGACTTTTTCCTCTGAGACTCCATAAAGAGTTCACAGGGAGCACTGTAGCACTGTCCTCCCACTGTTCATTGATTTGCTCGAGTGGGTACCAGTAACATCTCACAATAAATTGTAAGACTTGTTTTTACTGTTTTTGGCATACATCATGGTAGCTTGCCAGACTTTGCCATGCAGACGAGATACTCTAGGTAGCTTGCCAGGCTCTCCAAGAGGGGTGGAGGAATCGAACCTGGGTCGACCGTGTGCAAGGCAAACATCCTACCCACTGTGCTATTGCTTCAGCCCACAGGGAACACTATTAGGTAGAATTCTAGAATAGAAGTTTTAGAATTTGAGTGATTCATACCTTTAGTGCTCAGAAGCTAGTTTTGACTGGTGCCTGGGGGGTTACTCCTGTTAGGGCTTAGGGGACCATTTGATGACAAGGGTTAAATCAAACCTTCCAAAGACAAAGCTTGCACTAATTTCTTTGAACTCTCTCTTAACCCCCCAGATAATAGCACTTAAACAACTGTTTTCACAGCCTCTGGAAACACAGGTGAACTGTCACTATAATTGCAGTTTCTTTCTGTCTCAGTCTTGACTCAGAATTGCCTGAACCCCAATTTCCTCTGGAAACTCTAACCTTTCTGAGAAACTACCAGTAGGAAAGTGTGGAAGGGCCTTTTGTAAACTTACAGAAGTCCTCACCAGAAGGCACAGAGTTTGTCTGTTTACCTTTTGCCTCCACAAACCTGATGACTAACCCAGAAAAGACAGACAACATTGTTTATTTGAAGAGCTGATGAATGAATGAAGAATCATCTCTACAGGGATTTTGTCTTCTGTACCTCCCAATGAAGGTTTCAAATTCCAAACCACATCCTGAAAGAGAGCTTAGGTCATAAGGCTTGAGTATATAAATTTTAGCAATTCACCCTGACACACCTTAAAGTTGAATTTTCTGGAAGAGAAGGACCAGTAGTTGGACTTTGGACTGAATTTCAAACTGAAACCATTATTTTCTAGCTTTGGTAAATGAGAGGACACAAGCAGCTGAGTAAATACACAGAATTTCAGCCTGCTACCTTAGATGAGGATAATCTGGTTTGCTAATTGAAAATGATAAAGATACTTTGAAAATCAGAAGCAGCTAGAAAGTTTGGTTTTCACTTTGCCCCTCTTGGAAAATTTTAGCCATTGTCATTAAATATGGAAGAGGCAGATCTTTTAAACTCATATATACTTATGGCTTGACTTCCAGTCTAACAGCTTGCTTACAGTAGAGTTGGGTTTTGCCACATTTTCACTGTGTAATTTTGGATAAATCTCTTAAGCTCTCTTATTTTAGTTTGTTTTTGAGACTAATGGTGGAGAGTCTCTGCTAAGCAGCAGGGATACTATAAAGATGATGAGTGGAGAACCAGCACTATTCTAAATTTACCTGTTGAAAG